GGGGTAGACACCCGAGGTCTGCAAACCTGCCGAGGCTAAGTAGTGTAGGCTGGAGAAGCTGGCAGAGGTCAACAGGTCGCGACCTCAGTGCTATCTTGTCGTGTCTTGTTTTTTTTAAAACGGTGAAAATGTGACTTCTTCTTAAGCTCACTCTTTGTTATGAACTGTTTTGACTCTTATTAAAAATGGAGATGGGACAAGGAAGCACTGAGGTCGCGAGGTGGGTGGGCGTGTGTGTGAGTGTATGTGAGTGTGTATGTGTGAGTGTATGTTTGTGTGTGTGAGTGTACGTATGTGTACGTGTGTGTGTGAGTGTATGTGTGTGTGTGAGTGTACGTGTGTGTGTATGTGTGAGTGTATGTGTGTATGTGTGTGTTTGTGAGTGTGTATGTGTGGGTGTATGTGTGTGAGTGCATATGTGTGTGTGTGTGTATGAGTGTGTGAGTGTATGTGTATGTGTGGGTGTATGTACGTAATGTGTTTCGTCCATTTAGAGAGTTTCTTCCTTTCCCATTTCAGAATGAGGGTGATCATGGAGGCTGAGGCCGAGGCTGAGTCTGTCAAGGTCAGTGTCTGTCTGCTTGTCTGTCGGGTTTGCTGTTTGTTTGTGTGCGTGTTTGTCCTTCCATCTTGCTCCTTCTTTCCTATCAAACATCTGCCATCCTTTTCTCCCCTCCTCGTATTTTGTGTTTGTTACTCTCTTGTAGCACCTCTAATCTTATATGACCATAATATTGTGTTGCAAGTGCCGTAAAATACTTACTAAAACTAAGAAAAACGTCTTACTCTTTCCTTCAGTGGTTGGAGGGTGCTCTTGTGTGATTTGCTCCTTCCTTCCTATAAAAAATCTCTCCTCCTTATCTCTCCTCCTTTTCTTTGTATGTTACTTTCTAAGTGGGCGGTTGACGGATGCTCCTTCTTTCCTGTCAAACATCTATTATCCTTTCTGGATCGATAACAACAACTATCGTCCTTTTCTCTCCTCCTTTTTTTTCTGTTTGTTACTCTCTTGTAACACCTATAATCTTTCAAACTTGTGTGCCTATTCATGTTGCAAGTGCTGTTAAGCTATTATAAGACCAATTTTTGTGTGTGTTGCAAGTGCCGTAAAACTAGAGTGAAAAACACAAATGCCGTAAAACTAGAGTGAAAAACACTTACTTTTCTGATCCAGAAGTGAAAAACACAAGTGCCGTAAAACTAAAGTGAAATTGATCTATTTTGTGGTGCTAGTGCTGTAAAACTTTAATAAAACTGATTGCTTTGGTGTTGCAAGTGCTGTAAAACTCTTAGTGTGGGTGGTTGACGGGTGCTCTGGTGTGGTTTGCTCCTTCTTTCCTTTCAAACATCTTATCGTCCTGATCTCTCCTCCTTCCTTTTTTGTTTGTTACTCTCTTGTAACAGCTGTAATCTTCGGCACTTGTATGACCGTATCGTGTTGCAAGTGCTGTAAAACTCTTACTAAAACACCTATCAAACATCTATCGTCCTGATCTCCCTTTCTTCTTTTTTATGTTTGTTACTCTCTTGTAACACCTCTAATCTTCGGTACTTTCATGACCTTATTGTGTTACAAGTGCCGTAAAACTCTTACTAAAACTAAAACTCGTAGTTACTTAAAATAACCATCAAACGTGTGTACGTGTCCCCAGGTGAAGGGAGAGGCTGAGGCGTACGCCATCGAGGCCCGCGCCAACGCCGAGGCTGAGCAGATGGCCAAGAAGGCTGACGCATGGAAGGACTACCAGGACGCCGCCATGATCGACATGGTGCTGGAGACTCTGCCCAAGGTCAGGGACACGCGCCGGCTATAAATTACACTTTAAAACAATTTTGGTTTACAATGGCAAATATACGTACGTGGGTGGTTGGCGGGTGCTCTGGTGTGGTTTGCGTCTTCTTTCCTATCAAACATCTATCGTCCCGATTTCCCCTTCTTCTTATTTATGTTTGTTACTCTCTTGTAACACCTTTAATCTTCTGGCGCTCATTTTACCTTATGCAGTTGCGAGTGCCGTAAAACCTCTACTAAAACGAAACTAAAAACATTCATACGTACATGATACATACGTACAGACAGATAGACAGACAGAACAATTTACATTCATGCCATTTCCAGTGACCACTGTGCAGCGCCCTGTATTTTGAGCTAGAGTTGTCGTGTCTTGCTCAAGGACACACTCCCAGTGACCACCCATCTGATCCGCGTGTCACCGACACACAGACACACACACACTCACACACACTCTCACACACACACACACACACACACACACACACACACACACACACACACACACACACAAACACACTCACACACTCACATACACACAAACACACACACATCCCAGTGACCACCCATCTGATCCGTGTGTCACCCACACTTGCTTGACATTATTTAAATCTGAACTTGAACTCGCTGCTCACCTTGCCACTGGCGGGGGCTCTGGTGTTGTTTGTTTACGCCTTCTTTCCTGTCAGACAACTCCTCCCCCCCCCCCCCCCCCCCCTCCCCCCGGGCAGTGCCACTGACTGAAGTGTCTTTAGGCCATTCCCAAAGGGGGGACATTTCTCTTTCAAGCACAGTAGAATTGTAAATGGGCTGACTCATGTCACGCTCATAACTGTGCCTGATTTACAACAGGGATCTGCTGCTTTTTCTTTCCTGATCCTTGCTATTGTCATTTTCCTCTATTTCTTTTGTATGTTTGTCACTCTCTTGTGACCTGCTATTTCTGGGGCGCCTTGATAGTCGAAGCAGACCTTGTGCTGTTGAAGCTAGAGAGGTGAGCAGAGTAAGTCTGATTCCCTGTAAAGACTCCTCTGTTGACACCCACCCCTTGGCGCTCATATGACTTTATACAGTTGCGAGCGCCGTAAAACCCTCTACTATAGAAAAAAAAATGTCAGACAACATATTATGAAGAGCACCTGGGGAAAAACGGACGTAATCACAAACTTGAAAATCGCGAGGGTTTCAATTTTGAACACTTGTTGACTCGTAACTGTATTTCTGTTCGACTGTTGGTTGATTATTATTGTAAGATTTCCCATTCTACAAACATAACAATAAACCACCAATCAAAAAAAAATGAAGTTATGAGTCCACAAGCTTTCTCTCCCTACCAGAACATTTTTTCCTCTCTGCAACCCAGCGATTCTGGTAGCCACTCTCTCATAATGATGGTAATCAGAAAAGAAATGCCCAGGCAGGAAAATCGGATTTTCTTTAAGGTATCACCAACGCCGTGGGGCAGCATGAAGATCTACTGACCACAGTGAAGAAATGAAAATTAAAATGGTATGGGCATGTCACAAGATCCACAGGACTTGCCAAAACAATCCTGCAAGGAACCGTACAAGGAAAGAGAAAGAGAGGAAGGCAGAGAAGGAGATGGGAGGACAACATTACAGAGGGGACAGGAAAGACGATGGGTGACAATCTGAGGAAAGCAGAGGACAAAAATAGATGGCGAGAGCTGGTTGTCAGATGCAGTGGTGCCCCCAGGGCTGCCCAAACCATGGGATAGAAGAAGAAAAAGAAAGAAAAATAATTGGATGACCGGAAAACAGTGGTTTATTATTATTGTTATTATTATAGTTATTATTATTAATATCATCATTATTATTATAGTTATAGTTTAAAACTACTATTATTATAATTATTATTTCTATGGCCCTTCCCCCAGGTTGCGGCTGAGATCTCGGCTCCTCTGACCAACGTCAAGAAGGTGACCATGGTGTCCAGCGGCAAGGGAGACGTGGGTGCCCTCAAACTGACCAATGAGGTGATGGGCATCATGGAGAAGCTGCCCAGCGTGGTGGAGAACTTGACCGGCATCGACATCGCTAAGGTCAGTGGGAGAGAGAGGATGGGTCTTCTTTCCTGTCAAATATCTATCGTCTTTATCTCTACTCTTCTTATTTTGTGTTTGTTGCTCACCTGTAGTTCCTCTAATTTCTTTGTGTTTGTTGCTCACCTGTAGCTCCTCTAATTTCTTTGTGTTTGTTGCTCACCTGTAGCTCCTCTAATTTCTTTGTGTTTGTTGCTCACCTGTAGCTCCTCTAATTTCTTTGTGTTTGTTGCTCACCTGTAGCTCCTCTAGTTTCTTTGTGTTTGTTGCTCACCTGTAGCTCCTCTAATTTCTTTGTGTTTGTTGCTCACCTGTAGTTCCTCTAGTTTCTTTGTGTTTGTTGCTCACCTGTAGCTCCTCTAATATCTTTGTGTTTGTTGCTCACCTGTAGCTCCTCTAGTTTCAACCTATATGACTTTGTTTTGTTGCAAGTGCCGTAAAACTCTTTTACTAAAACTAAAACTGTAACACCTTTTCCCGGCACTAAATGACCATTTTTGTGTCAATGTACTTCTCCTTGCTCTAACAGTCAAGGCATGTGGTCAACAACAAAGCCCTCTCTCCATCACAGCGAATTTCTGGGAACATTCTGTGCACTTTCTGTCAATCTCTGTCACATTTTTTACTTTTTTTGGTCGTGTGTCCTTATTTGGTGCCGATATTTGTAAGTTATGTTTAAAAAATGCCAACGCAGTACAAATTGTTGTGCTTCCAACCCCCCCCTCCCCCCCCCAAAAAAAAACCCAACAGAAAAAGGAAAATTGTTTGGTCTGTGATAATGATGATGATGAATCACATTCTTGGTTTATTGTTCCCCCCAACAGTCCATGAAGACGGCCTCAAGAGCAAAATAAGAAGCAACAGATTGTTCTGGGAGCGTGCTGCTTTGACGAACGGATGGTGGACAACGTCATCCCTCGTGGACACAAGATTTCCACACACACAAACCAAAAATGTCAGTCAGGAATGCACCCAGCATATATTTCCCCTCATGGACCCAACATTTGTCACCTCGTCATATTTGCTCTCGTGGACAAGCTAGCACAAAGAATCTCGCAGACTTTTGGCAGGGATAGTATCCGGACAAGAAGCTTTGATGTAGATGTATAAAATTACCGTTGCAGATTTTTCGCTCCGTTACAAACTGGAGAACGTGCTTGGATGAATGTAGATACCTATAACATTTCCGATTTTCCTACACAAATGTCCATGATATTTATTTCCTATAGAAAGAATATTTTGCTTGAATAGCCACGATAAAGGAACAAGGATTTTTTGCTAATGTGACCTTGATAAATTTTTGGTGTATTCATATTGTACATAACATTCTAGCATGCTTTGTGTAAATATAACACTGAGTTATTCGCGCATACCGTTTCAGTTTTGTATGCTGATTCCCTCCCTTAGTTGCTCAAAATTTACCTCTGTCGAAAGAAACAGTAGCTAAGAACTGAGAAATGTCGAAACTTATTATTTTTTTTACAAGTGTTGTGTCATATATTTATTTGGAGGCTGTTATTGTTTATTTTAGCCACACAGAAGTGAAAGTTTCCTTTGACCATTCAGAGTCGCCCCCATAAATCGTTTTATTCCTAGCCATTACTTTCCTTTGTGAGTTTGAGATAGGGCTGTTTGTTCGTTTTGCCAACAACAGACGGCTACGATATTAACTAGCTCAGGTATTGGAACTTTTAGTTGCAGGGGAACTGAGATGGTTGAGAAAGCCTCAGATATTCTGTCTGTTGACGACGACAACCCCCCCCCCCCCGACATTGGTTCAACCCACTGGGCTCAAGATGTTCCTTTCTCCAAGCGTCATTTCGTTCTTGTCAACGTCATTTCTCTTAGCGTGACAGACATTTGTGTGGCATCCTGGTGGAATAGGACGCTCGGCTAAACAATACAATGGTAGATACCAATATTTTTCCCCGCTGTTGGATAATTTTTATCCTGAAAATTGTTTTAAAAATTGGCGTAACTCCCTTTATGTTCATCTTTAAGAAAACATTTCTGTATGGATTTTAGTGAAAAGCCACCGCTCAAGCTTTGGAAATGACCAGACTTTGCAGCCATTTTCTCACTAGTTTTACCCCGGAGAAAAGGCGACTCCCCAGCTTGCTCAATCACATAAATCGTGACTTCTGTTCAAAATCGTCAAAAACAAGGCCAATGAATTATAAGCTTTTGGACGCTAACAATACCTTCCTATGTCCCCCAAAATTGCCGAGCGCCCGATTTCACCGCGTCGTGACAGACATTTTGTTTCCAGGCAGCTCAATGCTCACCAGGTCAAAGGGCACACAAGAGCCTGTGAGCAAGCAGCATTCATTTATTTCTGCCGGGTTCCACCCTCATAGTTTTGACACTTTGTCGTTGTTCCAGCTATTGAAAGGCTTTCCTTACACAAGTACTAACAGGATTGTTCAAAGTGCTGCTTTATTGGCCTTAAAGACTTGTTCAAAAAGTGAATTATTTTAAGTGGTCGTGTTGTAGAGACGGAGGGAGGACAGTTGTTGTTGTTGTACATTTCAGTTTGCTTTCGTTGTTTGACGACGCAGTCAGCAGAGGAAATGTCGGCACGTGTCACGCGTTGTGTTATTGTGTCGGTCGTCACTCGCGAGGGAATCCTCCGCGTCCGCTGTTGTGATTTTTGTTTGTTTGTTGGTTGGTTGGTTGGTAGAAACCGTGATGTTATCTCGTGATCTGGCTGTAGAATTTTGTTGTGAACTCACCAAGTTGAAGTGCTCAGTTATATTATTGTGGATTGTTTTGTTTTTTTGTTGTTGTTTTTTGTGCCAGTTGGTTCTTTGTTGTTGTTGCTTCTGACCATGATGCAACGATGTTTTGTTGTTGTTGCTTCTGACCATGATGCAACGATGTTTTGTTGAAAAGCTCATTTTATGTCCCTCATGCAATGTCCACGCATTGACCTCTTTACATTCTAATTCTAGATGAGCACGGGGGACAGCGCAGAGTCACGCAGTCGCTCGTACATTTATCTGTTCTTTCCATCCGTCGGTTTTCTTTTTTCTTCTCTCCCCCCCTCCTTTCAGTCCGTGTCTCCCTCCTTTAGTCTTATGTTTCTAACGCAATATTGTCTCTGTGTTCTCCATGTGCGTCTGGGTCTGCGTGTCTCGTTCTGTTTTTTCTTAAAACTTTTTTGTTTTCTCACTGGCAGAGGGGGAACTACCGGGGTCGTCTTCCTAGCCAAACAAAAGTTGTTTTCCCTTCAGGCGGCATGAGTGGGCGGAAATTGGCACAGAAATTTTAGACGTGTCAGTCAAATAATACATGCCACTTCTTCTCCCTGTGTGAAGGAAGTAAGCTCAGACTGATCTATCGATCTTACCGTATTCAGTTGCGAGCGCCGTAAAACCCTCTACTATAAGAAAAAATAAAAAATTCCATCAAGTCCAAAGAAATGGAGATGTGTTGTTTGATGTCTTGTGGCGTAATGAGCATTCTCCTGGGTGCGGTTAGGAAAACGATCCCGTCCTGTTTTATATAACACACACGCAGCAACTTACTTAAGTCTTGCCTTGTATTCTATCGCATGCTTTTTATCATTTGTAATATTTTAATTAAAAAAAAAATTTTTTTTGCATAATAAATCTGCCATGTCATAGTCTCTCTTTGTACACTTGTGTTTTCGTGTCGGTGGAAAGATGTCTGTTTTCATATTTGGAAATCTGTATTGGAAATCTGTTTTTGTATTAATGTTAGTGTAAGGAAATCAAAATGTATTTGGTGCAATTGAGACGAAAGGTCTCGCTATCTTTTCCTAGACTTTTAGATGTGTGCGTGTAAATATTCGCGTCTTTAGTATAGCATCCCTGTTTGTGTACTGGGCTCTCCATCCCACCCCCCCCCTCTCTCTGTTTCTCCCCCTCTCTCTCTGTCTCTCTGTCTCTCCCCATGGCCCCCCTTCCCCCCCCCCCCCTCTTTTTATTTGTATTGTCGGTAACCATAAACAGCTAGCTCAGTTCTAGGCCAACATTGGCAGACCCTCCAATCAGAACCAGGCCAGTGGTTGTGCAGACTTTGCCAGCTCTTTTCCCAAATCTCCAAGGACTGTCCGGAGTTTAGTCACTATATAGGGTTTGAGGATTTGAGAACCTTATCACAACGTGCGCATGGCGTCGGTAGCCTAGTAGTTAGGCTACCGGACTCGTAATCGTGAGATTGCGGGTTCGGGGGTTCGAGCCTCAGCTCGGTCCGACGTTGTGTCCTTTGGAAAGGCACTTTACACGAACTTCCCACTTGGCTCGGTTCTATCGGAGACGGACGTTAAACTAGGAGGTCCCGCCCCTTAAATAACCTAAAGTATATCATGTCACCATTTTTCACAACGGGTGCTCCAGTAAAACAAGTCCCGCTTCCCGTAATGTTGTTCCCCGTACTGTAACGAGTTGCGATGTCGAATGGTTAGATGTCCCTGATTGGGTGGTGAAAAGATTGGCTGGCAAGCCTGGGTTTTTGTCTTCTGTTACCGTCAACCGTTTGTTGAGCACAGTGCTTCTGTTATATCTCGCAGTCTCTCTCTTTTCTTTCTGTTGTTAGCATGATGCTTCTGTTATATCTCGCAGTCTCTCTTTTCTTTCTGTTGTAGTTGTAAGCATGATGCTCATGTAATAGGGCATATCTCACAATCTCTCTCTCTCTCTCTCTTTCTCTCTCTCTCTCTCTCACTCTCTCTCTCTCTCTCTCTCTCTCTCTCTCTCTCTCTCTCTCTCTCTCTGTGTGTGTGTGCTTTCTGTTGTAGTGTAGAACTTTAGTTGTCGTTGCTGCAAGAATTTAAAACGAAGGTAAAACTTTTTCGGGCCTTACGTTTAGGGTAAGGAAAATGTACTAACAAATAAAGAGGCGAAAGTTGGATCTGTAGAATTTCCTCGCATACTGTAGAACATACGCTAAAGTACACGGGTCTCTTCTGTTGACATCACTAGAAGTAGGAAATGAGCAGTGATAGAGAGATGAAAATTTTTTCGTGTCTGGGTTGAATAATATATCGCAGAACAATTTCTGTAGAGATATAGCGCATAAAATTTAGCTGATAAGTTGTCATATCTTTGAAAAGATCGCAGCGTTTGTATTTCTGGTAACAATTGTTCACATTTCATAAATAAAGACTGACCTTTGGGAAATGAATGTCACAACATCATATCACATCACATCATATCGCTGATTTTAAAAAAAGTACGCTCGTTGGATGTTAGAACCTTGTCATCAGTCACAAGCATTGTTCATGGAGATGGCAATCTCTGAAATAATTTCTCAATGTTGACTTGTGTCATTACCATGGGTGGTGGCCGAGGGGTCATGAGGTCGGGGGTCACAGGGTGGTGGCTGTAGGGTTGTGAGGTCGGGGGTCACGGGGTGGTGGCTGTAGGGTTGTGAGGTCGGGGGTCACGGGGTGGTGGCTGTAGGGTTGTGAGGTCGGGGGTCACCGGGTGGTGGCTGTAGGGTTGTGAGGTCGGGGGTCACGGGGTGGGGGGGTGGGGGCTCCAGCTTAGTCTGGTTAGACCTCACTATGGACACTGGGGTCTAAATGGTGTCGTTCTGGGCGTAAAAAACAGTAAGAAACCATGTAGAGAAGACAAAGTGTGTGTTGGGGATCTCCGCTCGCCGAAGGAGGTTAGGATGGCTACAAGGGGAAGACGCGGAGGCCACACCGAGAGATGGAACATTCAACAAGCTTGTTCGTCCATTTCTCTAGGAGTCCCCACTCACTCTAATACTGTCTGTCTATCCAGCCCAGGAGGGAGGGGAGGGAGGAGAAGCAGCTCTCGGAGATTAAGAAGACCCGAGACAGATGACGATGGATGGTATCTAAATTTTGTTTTACATCCGATTGGCTATTCTACTCGGGAAGTTCACCCTCCATGTGGTGCCAACAAACAGCCCGAGGTTTCAGGGGAAATGATCAGAATTCACTGTATTATTATGTTGGACAGTCCCCGTCATTTAATGCAAGAAAAATTCTGAAATTATGCAAACTGAGCCCAAAAATGTGAAATTATGCGATTCTGTTAATTTTGTCAAAGAATGATAAAGGAAAATAATCAGAAATTGTGCGAAAAATGATCAAATTTAGCTAAATTATGCAGGGTGCATAAAGCCAGGTTGGAAAACGCTTGAAAACATGCAAACCAAGCAAGTAAAGGAAACTGAAGGAATTCTCCAGCGCGATAGATGGCGAGATCGGTGAATGTTTGATGACCCATCAGGCCCACCCCCACTAGTCACAGTCCATGAGAAACAAGGCCAATGAAGGACCAAAAATAAGTAGGGGGGGGGGGCAAAAAAACCAACAACCAGCAACCCAAAGAGCTTAAGTGACCAAGTGACCAACTGACCGAGTGACCAAGTGACCGAGTGACCAAGTGACCAAGTGACCAAGGTTATCTATTAAGTCTAAGATTACTAAGAACAAACACTTTGGCAAACTGCAACAAATGCTCTCCAAATGTATCAAGTATGTAGGCTTCTCTGAGAATTTGATCTCCTCTTGAGCAATTCTTGCATTGTAATTAATTAACTAATAGATTTGATAGAGCACAATTTTTTCGTTCCTTTAAAACAAAAAAACCTCCTTTTCTATGTGAGCACTGAAGAATGGACTGTTGTTTTTGTGTCTCTGCACTTTAGGTTATTTTTTCTAATTTTGCGGTGTGTTTGAATTAATCCTTGTGACTGAAAGATTTTTTTGTACCAATAACAACTGTAACAACTTTTTGCTTGCACTTTCAATACTACTAGTTACTACTGCTGTTTATGTGTTATGAGTTTAAGGAAACAAGGAACAAGTTCTGTTGCTATCAGAAAGATCGATGTGTTTTTTGAGTTTGAGAAGTCTAGTCTTTTGACGATGTGCAATCTGTTTGTTCTGTGGCTGTTGTAGGTAGCGGGGACCGGGGAGAGACCAGATGGAGATTCCTGCCGTCTGTTGGTTGATATATAAAGTTTGGTTCTTTTGCCATTCTCAGAGAAGTTTTTTGCAGTTTTATTCTGAGGAGTTTTTGATTATTGTGTTGCAACATTTATTTCTGTGTTTCGACGAAATAGAAGGCCTAATGGGTAGCAAAATTGTGTTGGAAAGAAATGTTATGGCGTGGGTTTAAAAAAAAATTGTTTATTTGTTTGATTTAATTTTTTTTAAAGGGGGAGGGGGGGGGGGGGGGGGGGGAGAGTGCCCTGTTTTATACATGAGATTTTTAAACTCCACACAATATTATTATTTACTATCAGTATCTATATTATATCTGAACTTGTTACCCTGTCTATCACATTTTGTCCCGCGATATTTCCCCGCATGTCATTGTTTCTCTGACTTCTGCCTTAATTACCCATGAAAAGTTTCTCATTATTTCACACACGGTTCCCGTCGGTGCTGAGAGAAACGACACCGTGCGTTCATTTTGTCCGACCGGCCCCAGCAATAGGTCATCTCCTCCGTCGGTCCAGACATTTCTCTCTGTTGGTTCGACTTTCCTCCCAGCACAAGTCCTCTGGAAACACAACCTGCCATGATGGACTTCTATCTTTTACTTCTTCCTCATCGCAGTATTTATCCGGAGATGTCTCCGACGGAGCTAGACCAATCAAAATGCTTTGTGCTTCTGGAGCAAGTGAAAAAAAATCTGGGGGGGGGTTACAGGGGGAATTTGATATTTTGCAGTTAGGTTTGAAATTTTCTTGAAAATAAAAATTGATTTGCGGCAGTTTTAGTGGCTAAATGTGTGATCTGCAGCAAACAATACGCAGTTTGACCCTCCAAAGCAGTGCATCTGTGTGCGGGAGTATGTCTCCGAATAGTTCCTGAGTACTCTCCTGAGACGTCTCCGAATATCTTCTGCCCTTCTCCTCCATCTTCTATTGGCCTTTGTGAGACTGCCAGCAGTTTTTTGTTACCAAAGGAAAGACGTGAGAACTTTGCTCAAGCAAGCCATTTTGTCAGAACCCTGTCCTGTCGACAGTTCCTTGTTGTTATGGCGACCGTATTATCCTCGTTTTCTACCTGAACTATATATATACGCCGACATGTTCCTCGTGTTATAGTAGAGCATACCTTGTCCTTGATTCTAATCATAGTCTTAATCTTATTCAGTCTTTATCAATTAAAATTTTTTTTTTATGTTGATTTTTTTTTCTCACCTGCTTGACATTGAGTTGTTTCCTCCCATACCATGGTGTAGCTAATTTGTTTTCTACTTATCAACAGTTTTGAATACAACTTTTCTCTATTAACTGGTAACTCGTTGGACTTGGACTTTGTGGTTTTGTGTACCTGTCTGTGTGTCTGGTTTGGTGTTTCTAACATCTGTATCTCACATGTTGCATTAAACGAGTGTTTGTGGGTGCTTGATGGGTGCTCTGGTGTGGTTTGCTCCTTTTTTCCTGTCAAACATCTATCGTCCTTATCTCTCCTCCTTTTTTGTGTTTGTTACTCTCTTGTAACACATCTATTCTTCGGCACTTATGATCTTATTGTGTTGCAAGTGCCATAAGACTTATACTAAAACTAAGAACTAACATCTGTATCCGACTTGTTGCATTAAGGAGTGTCTGCATATCTGTGTGTTGTAGTGGCACGTTTGTGGTCTAAGGGTGCTGTCACACTGTGGTTTA